AGCTGTGGAGGGCAGTGTCACTGGCCCTCATATGTGGGATCCGAACCAGGGCCCTCTGGCGTCTCAAGCCAGCTCTTAACCAACACGCCTCTTGGCCTGCCCGTGATAGATTTTTATTTATTCTTTTCTCAGCACCTGGCAATGCTGATATGTATTGCCTGGTTGGTATTTATGTGTTGTTTGAATGAATGACCAGCGTCCCAGGGTCAGAGCAGAAGATGTGGCTGTGGAGGAAAGGAAGGTGGGAAGCTGGCTGCAGGATCCCCCTCACGCAGCTGACCTGGGAAAGTTTTTCAGGACCAGGGTCGAAGAATCAACAATGAGTCTCAGAATTTAACACTGACCATGCATGAGCTGGAAGGAGGTGATGGATGATCATCCAGAAAATGCCTCCCCAGTCCTGGCGGCCAAGTGGAAACCGTATCCCTCCCCTGGTGTGCAGCCATGGGTCGCAGTGTGGTCCAAAATGGATCAGAGGTGAAGCCACCAAGCATTCACTGAGTTCCTGGGGAACCAACATAGGGAGGAGGCAAGATGTCAGCCCCCAGGGAGACCACAGCATGTACCAAGAAAACAAGGGGAGGGCGCCACCCCAGGAAGTGCACTGTACTTCCGGATAGGACCTGTGCCTCTGAATTGAGCAGCAATTGAATTGAGCCTTAAAGGACCAGTAACTTTGTATTTAACCCTGGGAAGAGGGCAACCCCTGAGGTGAAACTGAAGGCTTCCTGGAGGAGGTGGGTCGACTTCAGAGGCTCTGAGCCTGTCTTCTATTCGTTTGTCCCTTGTTTGCTGTACCTTATGAATCAACTACTTAGGGACCACGGGATTAATGGTGGGAAGTAAACAGTCAGGTCTTCTCACTCCCACCATTGCAGCTCCAGCACCCATCTCCACAGTTTACAACATTAGAATCGCCCACAGAGCTTTTTACAAAAATACAGATGCCTAGGCCCCAGCCCCTAGAGATTTTAATTTAATGGGTTGGGATGGGGCCTGGGCATAAGGACTTAGGAAAAAAAGGACCCCAGCTAATTCCAAGATCCAGTCAGGGTTTGAATTCCTGACCTAGCCCGTAAGTGCCCAACAAATGGGCATGCCAGACCCCGGCCCCTGCCCCACCTGCCCTCTGCCTTTTCCCTCCTCCCCTTCCAGGCCCTTCTTCCCAGGAGCCTCCCACACCCAGTGCCAACCCACACCTACCTCTTCCTGCTAACCGAGAGCTGTAGAAAGACAAGACCTGTGGGAGAACACCTTGAAAAAAGCCTTTCATTCCTCATCAGTCACACCCCTTGCTACTGCCACTCCCTTTGTACCTAATTGTCCTCCTTTTGCTGGGAGGGAGTTAGTGCCAGTCTCCCACTAGACCCTCAGCTTCCTGAGGGCAGGAACTATGACACCTGGGTCTGTCCTGTCCCCCGAGTTCAGAGCCAGGAACAGAGAAGTGAGCAATAAACAAGAATTAACTCACACTGAATGTGGACCAGGCACCATGCAAAGCCCTCTGCATGGATTTCCTTATTTGGTCCCTGCAACATGCCAGGTGTTTTTGTCCCCATTTTAGAAAGGAGAAACTAAGCTCTGGTTTGTTGGGCGCGGTGCCTGGCCTGAAGTCCTAAGAGGGTAGGTGCTAGCCGAGCAGAGAAGCCAAGAGGCTTCCTCGCAGGGGGCAGGAATGCAGCAACCTACAGAGTCATGGTTCCCAAGGAGCTGGTGGGACTGCTTCATGGAGCAATTGAATTCTGGAAATGACAAAGATAAAGGGTTTTCTTCTTTCCAAAACTTCCTTCAGCCAGAGTTGGTCATATCTCCCTTGGCCTTATCTCCCTATCCTGACTGAAATCTCCTTCAAATGTCACCTCTTCAAAGAAGCTGCATTTGCCACTCCATTAATAAAATAGTCACCTCCCCTTCTCTCCCCCTCTTTATCCTGCTGCCTTTCTTTAAAGCGGCAGCCTCCCAAGTGTGATCCTTAGGTTGGTGCCAGCCTACAAACTGTTAGCTGTCCATGACAAGTTAAATGCAGAAATGGAGAGTGTTTAGATACGAATACAGCAATTTTTCTAGTAATTCATTATAATTGTATTTTACAAAAGAATTGGTCTACAACAAATTAGAAAATTTAAAAAGCGATTCCTGAGGGCCGGACGAGTGGCTTAGTTGGTTAAGAGCTCGCTCAAGGGTTTGAGCTCTGAGCAACAGCGGTTCGAGTCCTGGCCCGAGCTGAGCAGCCACTGAGATGCCAACAGGTAGCAGGATGGCTCAACTAAAAATAAATAAATAAATAAATAAATAAAAAGCGATTCCTCACCCCAAATAATTGGAGAGACACTGCTCAAAGCGCTTATTGCTACCTCACAGTCATGCCTGTTTGTTTTTATTTGTTGTTCATCGTCTCCCTTCTATACTATCCACTCCACATAGCAAGATTTGCTCTACCTCACTGCTAATTCCTCCAGCCTGCACACAGTAGGACCTCAATACATACCTGTTGAATGAATGAGTGAGTGAATGAATACAGCAATCAGTCTCAAGTAGATCCTGTAACTCTCTGCTCACTTTTGGATATTGAAATTCAATCCAATCCAGGACAAAACACCAAAGCACACCTGTTTCAAATCTCCTCTGCTCCCCGCCCCCCCACCCCCACCCCAGAACAGAGCTGGAGAGACCTACACGGGAAGGACCCTGCTAGCTTTAACACTGCCCATTGTAGCCTCTGTAAAGCAGTCCTGTCTGAGCCACCTGCTCCGTCTTCTCCCATCAATAACCTACCCTAGGGTCGGAGGCCAGGGAGGGTGGTGGCAGGTAGGCAGAGATCTTTTCAAATAACTGGGCACCTTCCGGTGTGAGGAGCCTCACTGGGCAGAGGCCTGTGCTGGAGGGGTGGTGATGTTCAGCATCGCCCCAGGCAACCTCAACTCTGCCCTCATCCTCACCCAGGCAACCTTCCCACTCCTGTCTCCTACTCATCCTCCCCTTCACCTCTCTGCTCCTCCACCCAGAGTCACAGGAGTTGCTGGCCTCCCTGACAGCCTCCGAAAGCTGGAGGGAACCAGTGAGGCCACCCTATCCTTTTCTTTCCAGGCTGCCCACTCATTGGTCCCTGTTCATCCTGCTGGCACACACTGCCCGGCCAGCTGCCAGCCTCCTGACACCTCCAGGCCAGAAGCAGGCCCAGCCTCTGTGCCCCTGAGACTCAAGTCTGGGTGCTGCGGGGATGGTACCAGTGACATGGGCCTGCAGATGCTGTGGCCTGACAAGCTCTCCAGCTGGGGAGCAAATGCCAGTCCCTCCTCTCGGGCACTTCCAGGCCCTACAAGTGATTCTTTCGGGGCCCCCTGACTTGCCTTCTGTGGGAGAGCACCCTCTCCTTCCCACCTGTCACCACCAGAGATCTCACAGGGCTGACCGCTGGGCTTCCCCTCCAGCCTTTCTTTTCTTCTACAGATAAGTTCTCCTCTCATAGGCCTTGAAAAAGGGCCTCTCTCCGCCCTTTGGTTGGTGGCACCACTTAAGATATGAGGTACTTGACACCTTTTTGTCCCCAGATTTGAATGTGTGGCCATTGGAAGACCCCCTCAACATCCTGCCACATTCTCTCACACTTGGTATCATGCTGAGAAGCCCAGTCTTTACAAGTGACAGGGTGGGAGGGAGCTGTGATAGGTTCAAACAGGGGAATGGTCAGATTGGGTTAGAGAGCTCACTTCAGAGGCAGTGTTGGGGCCAAGATAGGAGAGGTGGGACCATCCTCGGATCAGGCAGCTGACCCCCGCTCTGGGCCCATGCTTTAGAGGGCCCTCCTCTGGCCATGCCGCTCCCTGGGATGAGGACTCAGCAAGGCCAAGGGGCCACCTTCTAGACCACACCCCAGGTGTCCAGGATTCCAGAATTCCCTGCCAAATGGCCCAAGCCCACTTCTGGCGCAATCCTGGGCCTCTCCCCACGTCAGTCCTCCCAAGGGCAGGCAGCCCACGCAGCCATTATTCACAACCCTAGGCCCAAGAAGTAGTCAGTGGGGGCTATTTGCAGAGCGTAAACAGGCTGGGGTGCCCACAGATGTGCAGGTCAGAGTCAGGGCAGGCCATGAGCCAGAGCCCCCCAGTTTCCTCCTGCCCCCCGCCGTGCAAATGTTAAGGTTTGGATGTGAGGCACAGAGACCCTGAAAGCTGTGGTTCTCCCACCTTGGGAGCATCACCTGTTGAGCATTAAAAACTCCTAGCATCAGGGTCCCAGCCACTCCCATTCTGAGTAGATTGATCTGAGGTTAGGAGTTTGGCTCCCCAGGTGGCCAACAGTTGAGGCATAACCAGAGAAACAGTGTCATAGACCAGGCGAGAGGGGCAAGGGAAGAGAGGAGGCTGCACTGCAGGATGGAAAGGGGACCTTGGGAACTCTCCCGGGTTTCCGCGTGGGTGGGTGGAGATGCCCTCATGAAAGAGGGAAGGTGGGGAGGGGTTCCTGTGTGGAGGAGTGGATCTCAGCTGGGTCTGTACATATGGAGTTTAACAGGCAGTTGGATAACGGCCTGGATCTCGTGCTGGGAATTATCAGCACATACTAAATGATGGCTGAAGCCACGAACGTGCCTAAGGGTGGAAAGTATGTTGGGCCAAGAAGGGCACTTCATTTGTGCCCTCCAAACTCCACCGTCCTTTTGCTAATCCATTCCTCCATCCTAGGCCAGAGTCAGTTTAGCAGTGGAGGGACAGGAAGGG